AAGTCTTTATGGTCTCACGTTACATGCGAATTATTTTTTTATAATAAGAATGTAAAAAACGAGAGAAACATTAGACATGCTACTGTACCTGTTGGATTTTGAGAAAAATACAAATCCAAAAAAAAAAAGAAACGTCTCGGTATTAATGTCTGTATAATTGTCAATATGATATCTGGTTAAAAATGTTTATTTGAGAAAAAAGAAAGAAAAAAAAAAAAAGAAAAGATTGTGCACCGCAAAGACTTCTTTATACAAAATATTTTTTTTATAGTCATGATTTTTGGCCCTCATTTTAAATATATGTTATGCTTATTTACTGGTATGTTTACTTTCATTTTAGATCTGCAAATCCATAACTTTTTTTTTTATAAATATGTTTACACATGTTTGATTGATTAATTTAGGATTAGATGAATTCTTTTTTTTTTTTCTTCGTTAAAGTTTACTCGTAAAATAACAGATGGATAATTATATTCCTCGAATAATTCTCTGTTCTCATGATCAAAACATGCTAAGAATCGCTTATTTATACATTATCTGATAATGATTTAAAAAGAAATATAAAATGCACGTCATCGAAATAGTCGTGATTAGAAACAATGTCGTCCGTCCTACAAACTGCCTTGTTCAATTCAATTCGACATCCCACTGCATAAAAAAAAAAAAAAAAAAAAAAAAAAAAATAGAGAAAAAGGAAACGAAAGAAAGAAAATTGTATAAATCTTCCTTATATCTACAAGTGCCTGGCGCTTTATCTGCGCGTATTTGACGTGGCAAATAATAAGTTTGAATTTATTAATGCGAGTAAAGATTTTTCAAATTTTAAAGAGAGTGAAAGAGCGCGGGAGAAAGAGAACGTCGTATAACAAAAGGAGTGAAAGATGCGAAGAGAAAGACAGAGAAAATGTGAGAGTGTGCGAAATGTATAATATTGAGAACGAAAAATCTAAAAAAGACCCGGGGTGACCATTTTCTGAGTTTCGTAGTTGGACATCCAGCCTTCGCGTACAATGAAAAAAAAAAAAAATCTACGTTTTGCACAATACAACTATTACGTATTTCAATCTCTATATAATAATGTATGTAACGTGTTGTGTGAGTTGCATATTATTATATAATGTAATGACGCATCTCGTTAGCCCTCTACAATCCAGGTTCATGTAAAGAAAACCTCAGAAGGGATTCTTTAGTTTCTGAGACTGTTGTAAATATCGTCGTAGCATATACCACTGTGCAATTATCGTTACAAACGTATAATATTATAAACTAAGAACGATTCTTTCGAATAAATGTTCATACACTGTGGATCTTGCTGTAATTAAGAGAATAGAACGACACGTGCGTAGAACGTTTTTAAAACTACTGAATTAGATCTTAAAAAGGCGCCAGTGAATCTAAAAAAAGAAAACATTAAAAGAAAAAGAAGAAGAAGAAGTTGATGTGCGTAATCGTGCTCGAATGCTTCTTTTTGTAGTTTCAGGTCTTCTAAAGTTTTGTAGAAGCTGAACATAACACACGGAGGCGTTTGGAAATGATCTTGCGTAAGAATTTCAAAAATGTTGGCTCGTGAATCTTCCCCCTCACCCCTCCAAATACCTATGTACGTAAACAATTCCTTGATTGTACAATGATCGCTATGTTAAATGCTAGTTTTCGGAGATATTTTTAAGTAAAAAAAGAAAAAGACAAAAAAAGGACAAAAAGTTCAAAAGATAGAAATTCAAGGTCATTTCAGACGTTCCCCCTGTCTGATAAGCTTTAAAGACGGACAACTCGAAGAGGAAGCATTTGTGATCTTACGTTCGTGTATAGGTACATTTTATATATTTTTATTATATGTGCTCGTATGTTAGACTCGCTAGACTACTTCAGAAACATTGTTCAGATATATTTTGTCAAAAAAAA